GCAGTGCGTAAGTACGAGAGGAAAAGAAATAAATGGGAGGGGAGGGGGTGAAAGAGAGAGAAGGATGTTGAGGATGAGATGTAGAGATGGAGGTGGATGACATCAACTCCAGGAGAGGGGTGGGAAGTTGACAGGGGAATAGATTGGAGCTGCAGGGCTCTTGGCTGCCCTCTCTGTCTCTCTGAACATTGGCTGATTCACGCTGGAGTTGCACCGGATGGAGGAAATGAATGTTAACATGCCGAGGAGCGGGCTGGCGGACGATGAGTGGTCATCCTCCCAGCTGAGTAACATGTTTTAAGTCCACAGAGAAAAGACGAGATGTCTCTCTCACACCTCGAGGACTCTTTCTCTCAGATAGACTCGACCCGTTTCTCACCTTCAGTAACAGGGGTCTGCACTTTCAATGGAGGGGAGGTAAAGTGAGAGACCACAGCTGCAGCCCTCACAATCACAGAGACCACAAAATAAGAGACAGTACTCCATAGATCCATTAAGTATCCCTGAAAGATTACTTCGAGTTTCCACTGAACAGCCACATATCCCGCAATGTACTTTACATTATATAGCATTTACCAAACAATACTATTTTAAACATAATAACATTGAAATCAATGGAGTGTATAAACAATCAGCACCAGCTTCAAACTAGATAAAGTGGACAATATACATTTGTTTGGTCACTTAAAGGTCCAATGTGTAACATTATAGCCGGTTATATCGCCAGAAATGGAATATAATGTTTATAGGTATGTTTTTATTAGTGTATAATAACCTGAAAATAAGAATCTTTATTAAATAAGGCTGATCATTTGCACGTTTTGCGGACCACCTTAGTTTCTCCTTTGCACTTGGAAGTGGAGGGTGACGCGGGGAGTTGTAATCTGCAACTACAGTGCGAGATGCCATTAAATCGTACACGTAAACATTTTTCGCCTGAATTATGTTAAGTCAAGTTAAATATATTTAAAGCACATTTAAAAACAACCCTTGTTGACCAAAGAGCAGGCGGCGAACATCACTATTAAAAGAAACACAAACAAAAAGAAACACAAACAAAAAGAAACACCGACATTAAAATCAATGCACGCAGCTCATAGGCACAGATACAGAACTCACAGTCATCAAACAAATAAATCAGGCACATCAAGAGGATTAAAACGCTAGATAGTAAAAGTATGTTCTGAGCCTGGAGGGGGGAGATGTGAGTGGGAGGCGAATGCTGTTCTACAATCTAGGAGGATGCAACAGCAAATGTGCTACCACCCCTGAGCTTAAGTTTAGATCGGGGACAGCCAGGAGCCGTAAGTCAGCTGAGGGGCTAGCCCAGAACTTTAAAATTAATTCTGAACCGGCCTGGCAGCCCGTTGAGAGAAGCCAGAATTGGGGTAATATGGTCCCTCTTCTGGGTACTTGTCAGGAGCCAGGCTGACTGATCCCAGCATACAGGGAGTTGCAGTAGTATAGACATGAGGATATATAGCAGCTTGATTTTGGCAAAAGTACAAAGCTGTGAAAAAAAATGGCATTGACTTGGCGGAATCACACCTGGGGTGATATTTGGGCATGCAATAATTTAAAAATTATTGTTATTATCATTGCCCTCAAGGATGCTCCAAAATCCAATTTCTCACTCAAGATGATTACATTAGGTTTTTATTCATTAATTAGTCATTCAAAATTAAGAAGAAAAAAAAATGTATTTCAAAGCCACTGTGTGTGTATGATTTGAACATCTCTGACATTGGCAGCCCCCTAGTGGAGATATCAAAAGAGAGACTTTGACACTGATTCCTGTTTCGTACTGTAGACTGTATGACCTGAATATATGTTGGAATGACTCATATGAGACTTCTGTCACAGATTAATATCTGGTTTTCACTGTTTGCACAAACTCTAGTCTGCAGTGTAGTTACACAAAGTTCAAATACAAACAGTAATTTCCAAATAAAACTAAACCTCTCTCCTTCTGTCCATACATTTGCTTTCTCTCGCTCATGCACGTGCTTTGTATTTCCTCCTCCTTCTCTCCGTAACTCTTTCTCGTCACAGAGTCGATGATATAACGTTTAACTGTCAATGTAAATATTTATATACCTCGATGCCTGGTCACTAAAGTCGAGCACTGACCTGACATTTGACCAGTGCCTGGAGGAGGATCATGAAAGATAATCGGCTGATGCACATTGACTCATTCAGACAGACCACCGATAACCTACGTCACTGTCTGTCTCAATGGGGTATAAGACAAATGGGCTGCAAGCGACACATGGACTGCACCGATCTTCAGTGGGACTGTCTCATTTTTCTGAAAACAAAACCACTTTCCATCTGAATAATTTAATAGCTTCCATAATCACATGAAATCACTACACTATATATATTGGTTCCAATTCATTTTCATTTTTGATTTTATGCAGGCGAAAAGCAAAACACCAAAAAAGAATACAGACAGATTTTTATTACTTGGGTGGTGTGGTGAGAAGATGTCTCTTCCTGCGTTGTTCCCGCACAACAACTCACATCAACGATTTAGGGTAAAATCCAGGAAAATCTGTTTAATGTGCTCTTCATATTATTATATTTCACATTTTTCCTGCTCAATACCACATTACAGTGGCACAATAACTGACAAAAATAAACTAAATGAACTCAGGCACCCCTTTTCTATCACTGAGTAAACTGACGACCCCTGACTCACATATTTTGTGGATATTTCATATTATATTCAATGCATAACAATAACAGCACAGAACAACTGGTAAACTGTACAAGAAATTTGTGTGAAATGCGCGATTTAGATAATTTTTTTCATGAATAGGGAGTTTTCCTGATTATTTAGGAACTTTTTTATATAATAATGTCTGTATTATTTTAAAGAATCATAAATACTTCAGTATTTTCTTCTCCCTGACACTCAGCCATTGTTCTATTAGCCTTGGTGACACCGGTGTATGATAATGACAATGAATTAATTAATTGGCTAACATGAAAAACCCCTGCAATGGTCCTTTAATCCCCAAGTTCATTCAGACAAAATTACTGTTTGAGGTTATTTGAGGTGTTGTCTAATTTTGTTTGATCTCCTATGACTCCACTGTGAAACAAAATTAGCCTTTAGGGAAACAATGCTTCTGTCCCTTCAATGACACCACAGAGCAAATGGTGTCTCAGCGAGATTACATTCAAACACTCACACTCACACGACCTTGTCACAGTGCTGAACCATACACCACTATAGCAGCTTTAATCCCATATATTTGAACCAGAGTCAGAGCCATAAACACAGTGTAAAGTCATCTGCAGTGACTGGAACTGCAGTCTTAAATAAACCCACACAGGCCTTATTTAATTTTGGATAAGGATCTCACACACACAAGCACAACGATTTCCCCTAAGTCAGCGATTCATGGATGCAGCCACGCCTTCGCGCTGTAGAGTAAGTGAGGTCAACCTGTGTGTTAATAAATGATGGGTTCTGAGTGGAAACCTGGTCACTGCAGGGATTCGGGGTGTGAGAGTGAAAAGTTCAGCAGATATACAGAAGCTAAAGCACATCCAGCTCTGTAACTCCGGCAGAAAAAGGAATTCATATTTCATGAGCACTTCTCCCTCACTTCACATGTGGGCTACGAACAAACTTGACGGTTTTATTGCAGCTGAAACCACACATAACAGGTCACCGCTGTTGAGGAGTGAGAGACGAGCTTCAGCGAGACATGCTGGGAGAATTTGTCTGGCTGCCCGGAAAAATACATGCTTGTTCTCCCTGACTCCCTTTATTTCTCCCTCTTGATTCAGTTCAGTCCAAGGTGCATTCTTGCTTTGTATATGTGGAGGAAAGAATATGCTGTAGGTCAGCTGTAGCTGTGTCTACTTAAGTGTTTATGACTTCTTGCTACAAGGTGATGTTGGAGTGAACAAATGCAGCATCCCTCACTCAATAAAAGTCTTCCGACCTGAAATCAACTGTGTAAGAATGTGACATTTCTTTCATTTCTTCACGTCCTGTGTGTTTTTCTACAGGGCTCAACCATTAGCCATCAGCACTACTACATCATTGCATTCAGCTTCCTCATTCATTTCAATGAGCTGGCACAGCGATGGTGTTGGCTCAACTTTAATGCAATGCAATATCATCTGGCAACAGATTGCTTTGGTCAATCAAATATGTATAACCGCACATTCCTGGTAGTTTACTGAGGCCCTTTGATTCTGTGAGTTCATACAGTGTGTTTTTAATGTTTGCGTGTGTGTTGTTTGAAACATTGTATTGCTGCCATCTTGGCCAGGGCTCTCTTGGAAAAAGAGATTTTGTAATCTCAATGGGACTTCCCTGGTTTAGTAAAGGATTAATAATATTAATTTTTAAAAACGTGCGGGATGTCAGCAGGAAGTCAGTTGGCTCCGCCAGAGAGGAAATGTAATGCTCATGCTCTGTAGGGAGGCTGTAGTCAGAACCAGAAGGGTCACATCCCACTTCCATCTGACTATTGAACTCTTGACCCGCCAAACACCACTCCTCACACGGACATTAATTTATAAATTACTAATTATTAACTTATTAAAATAAGCTTTTATTCGATGTTTTCTTACTTACTCTTCTAACTCTTTTTTGTATCTTAATTTGTATGTGAATTAGGTTTGTGTTTTGCTTATCCTGATGATTATCCAATCACAGCCACATTGTTCTTGTCATAATCCACTGCACATAGGACGTTCCTCACAGAATATAAAGTAATTTGAATTAAACTGAAATGAGTTTGGAAAACAGGAAATGCTTGAATTCATCAGTTGCAGGGCCTCAATTAAAGTGAATGAGAGAAAGAGAAAATGTTATATCATTATACTATTTATCTTACACTTTGTGAAGGTGATTATTTAATTGTCTCATCTTCTGGAACACACCCACACCAATGCAGCACCTTGTATTTGTATTGCTATTTGCAGTCTGACACCCACTTACCAAGTGTGAAGGTGTGTTTGTGTACTAGACTCACCAAGGCAGTGAGGCGAGTGCGGGCATTCACAGCATGCTTGAGAGCCAGTTTGATCATTGAAGGCAGCCTAATAACAACAGCCTCCATGTCCTGCTCTCCCCTCATGGCACCGGCCAGCTTCCCCAGTCCGTCTACGTAGGTCCTCCAGTGAGGCTGCACCTCAGCCGCTCCCCCCAGGCAGCCGTGCATCACCGCCTGACAGAAGCCTCTGCAGGCTGGTGGACCCAGCATGCCCTGGCAGTGCGGGCAGTACCACAGCCTCAGCAGGGCCCGGCTACAGTCCCGGCCGGGCCGCAGGTGGTCTGTGGTGTTGACAACCTCGATGCCCAGGTTCAGTGCCTGCAGGAAGACACGTGTGGCCAGGAGGGAGCGAGACAGACGGGTCATCATCACTTTGGGATAAGGGCCAAATGCTCCTGAGTCCTTCCAGGCTCCTCTTACACACTCCTCAGACACAGAGGACACGCTGCCCCCCAGCAGGCGACGGTATGCCAGGGGGAAGAGCCGACCATAGAGCACCGCCACCATGTGGTCCACTGTGGAGTCTGAGCCCAGGATGTAGAGCGACATATCCAGGAAGAGCTGCCCCACGGAGCTCTGGGCTCCACCTCCGAGACCTGGGAACTCGGACTTCAGCATGGCCAGGGTGGAGTTACGCCCGTGACGTAGCACCAGGTCAAAGGCCTCTGCAGCAAAGCAAGAGAATAACAGGGAAAAGAGTCAGATGAGGTGAAAGTTAGGCGACAAGCTGTTGCATTCAGCAGGTGATGATATGCCTCAGTAATCACAACAACCACGCCAAGCTGTCAAAAACTAGGCAGCAATTTAGCTGAAAAACATGAAACAGTCAAATAGATGCAATTCTCCCCAAACATCCATCCCATCCTTAACGATCGCAGTCAGAGAAAACTTCCCACGCACAGCCTCTCTTTCACTTTTCCCAGTTTTTCTCAATCTGTTGTTTTCTCTAATGGGACTATTCACACGTACACAAGACAAACACACACACACACACACACACACACACACACACACACACACACACACACACACACACACACAGTACTGCAGTAATAGACGAGGACTTGGAATACAAAGAGAGCAAAGCGGAACAGATAAAAAGCAAGATTTTGGTTTGACCTTTCAATACAACTAAAGAGCCAACTAGAAAAGAGATTCTTAAAAAAGTTCCCTTTAAGATTAAAGTATTAATCTCAAAACATTAGTCAGCCGGGAGAGGCATGACCACGAGGATGTCTGCAGGGAGAAAAGCATACAGAGCATGCAGGAGGGAGGGGTGCGTGGCCGATGCGAGGAGGGAAAATAATCATTGGCGTTTCGAGGCACAAAGTGAAGTCTTATCAACAAGGTGGCACAAGAAGCAAGAGCTCTATCATCGACCCGGTAGCAAAATGAGTGAGGACTCAACAACACAGGGGATTTAAAGCTCCATTACTGAACTTAGCAGGGGAGCTGAGAGTCAGTGAAATGAAGCTTTGGACAGGAGAATAGCTAGGGATGCCGAAATCCCATTTATACCGCAGCAAGTCCGCTACATCACTTTGTTGAGAGTGATAGCCACAACTGCTTTGTGAGGGTGGGGATGCGGGGGAGGCACTGGTTTAGGGGACATTAGAGGAAGTTATTAGTTTTTGTGCTACAAAAGCTTGCCATTTTATCTTTGTTATTTGATTTTTCTTGCTTGGATAGTTTAATTTCTTTCTCTTCATGCTTCTCTGAGGTCAAATGAGCCTATATGCAGAGCTCTGGGTCCTTGGGTAGCACTGAGAAATGACGTGACAGCTCTGTCTCTTTTGTGTCTAACGTATAATGTGTTTTTTTGTGTGCAATTTCAGGCACACAAGGAGGTCCATATGAGAATATGACAACATCTGAGCAAAGGAAATGAACATCACTCCCTCTCTCTGACTGACTGCTGCTGGTGTGCATTTCAATGATGTAACTTTTGAAAGAGGAATAAACACCATCTTCCTTATACTGCATTTCTCAAATTAAAAGTTGAGTTCATAAGAAACCAAACTTTGGTCATTTCAGTACAATGGGGCTTTTTGCTGCTGAGTATTTCTTGACGATACAGGACAGCACTTGCACACAAAAGGCCATACAATTTACCAATACCAAGAGTATTTCCAGTTTTCACTTATCCTACCAACAGTCGAGTTTCAAACAAAATACACACCCAGGTTAATGTAGGCGAGTGAGGGGGTAAAATACAATACAAATTTGCCAGAACAACATGAAATATTTTCATGATTTTTGGTCATTTTAATCAATTTCCAGGTGTTTCTATGACTGGAAAACTAGTCTGTCCATGTTTTTCAGTATTTCCAGGAGACATTGAATAAGTGAACACCAGGAGACCTCTCTGATAGTGGTCCCTTTCTCATTAATGTCTAAGGCTGTATTCAGACAACACACAACACATTTTAGAGGTATCGCAATGCCGAATAAAGTCAATACATAGATGCAAGTGCATTTGTAAAATGCTAATTAATTCTGGGTGGTGTGAAATGAGGTCAAGATATTTGAAAATGTTTTAACTTGAGTGAAAACTGTGCTTATTTTGAGGCTTTATGGCCCAATTCATTAACTTGCAGAAATATTTTAATAATTGGAGAGGAAAATAATGGAAAATTGATTTTCTGGTAATATTTGATCAGTCAAAGACTGAGCTGTCACACAAACACAACACAGGCACGGTACACACTGTACATACACAGTCGGTGCGCACATTCCTAGCTAGCAACAGTTGACGTCGTCGTTTGGGTCGTGCAAAGGCGTTTTTTGAATTACTAATGCCACAGTATAGTGTCAACTGAATCTGGTCCCAGTGTAAAGTGCTCATGGCAGCAATAGTTGTTTGCTGTTTTCCAGAGGAAATCAAATAATGTTGCCCTGCAGATGAAAAACATCTGTGGAAATTCAATGATGTTTCCTGGTACTCCTCCAAAACAAAAGGCAACATCACGTAAAAAAAAATACACTGTGTGTCGGGGTTTGAATGCATCTTCAAGCTAAAATGCTGTTGATATTGATTTTAAATGTCTTTATTTAACTGGCTCAAGAGGATCCTGGAAAATGAAGGGAAATACACTAATATCCTGTAATTGCCACATGTGACCACAGTGGCCGCTGTTCAGCAGAACTTCCCTCTTAAAGCCATTTATCCCAGAACTACCTCTGTGATAAACAGTAGCAGGCTGTGGTTGTAAATTTAAATATGTGTGTGTGAAAATTAAACAGGGTGTAAAGCAGCATGCGTGCTCAGTGATACAATTGTTGGGTGAATAAAGGTTAAGAAAAACATTTGAGGATATTTGGGTGAGTGTGAGAGGATGTTCGGGAGCAGCACACATCTGTTTAGATTTTTAGGCTACGGCTGTCCCGCTGCGTCGGCGGAGCACTTCCCTCTGTGATCAATGAGCAGACAGATGTGCAGATTGCCAGCCAAGACAAGGAGACAGACTGCAAGGAGGTAAGACACGCCCACACAAAAACACACACACACACACACACACACACACACACACACACACACACACACACACACACACACACACACACACACACAGATGTACATAGAAGTCTTCTATTCCTGGTAAAAGGAAAGCAGGAGCGTCTTATATTTGGTTAATGATTTAAAACTGAATGCAGTGAGAAAATGCACATTAACCTCAAAGATATCTGCTTCTCCTTTTCTCGGTTTCTATGAAAGCCTCTTAAATCAAACCCTGTAATTTAGCTGCTACCTGTAGTATCTCTTACACCACAAAGAGGAGAGCCACTTTGTAATGGCAAGAGAAAGACTAGAGGGCTCTTCATAAATGCAATTCAATGGCTCTAAGTAGCCGGGCTCATGGTAAGAACCATTGCGAGCCCATTTCCTGTGCATTCTGCTCGCTCTTTTTCATCAGTGAAAGCCTGTGCGGGATCAGGTATCCTCTAATGGAGGGGAGAGGGGCTGTATGTCAGGGACCTGTGACATTCTGGATACAACTGTAGGAGGTCAAGAGCACACATTAGCAGAGCAGGATCCCGCAGATACATATTGGGTCACACTTAAAATGTGCAGTAGCATTTATTTTGTCTGTTTCACAGATGGAGGCAGAAGGCTGGCTGCTGGAAAACTGTCTCTCCTCTGAGACTGAAGGCTTTTTACAGAGAGATCAGCGATACAGGGCAGAGGGAGATGTCTCTGCCTATCCTCTTTTACCTCTGTCCACCGATTTCACCAGCCAGATAATGTTTACGCTAAGGATTTGAGGCGTCTCAGCTTTCTTGGGCATGAAAATATGGATATCCACTAACTCATGTCCAATATTCAACAGCTCTGTCACTGAGGATACTATAAATCTGTACTGTGAATGCTTTAATGTAATATCTACCTTCTTTGCATATCATGTCATTAATCAAAGCCCCCAATTAAAGTGTGATCAAGTGATTTCAGGTAGTCTAAAGTTTAAAAGAAATCTAATAAATCTGTGTCACAGAGAGGTCACTTATTTCTGACATCTAAAAGCTCTAAGTGACTCCAGCTCTGACATTAAACAGGCTTCTCACATAATCTATGAATGGCCTGTCAAATGAACATATTTGATGTTCACGAAGCCATCAGTCTGGGTGTTACATAAGTCAGCTCTGCGGTTCATAACACACCAGACTGACTGACTGACCGCTGACTGTGGATGACACGCTGCGAAGGCAGACATGCGCCATGCGGCCTCATCAATCAACGACCCATACACCTATTATCCCCAGGAGAGGAAAACATCAATAAATTACCCAGCCAATGAGACTAATCCATTTGGCTGATGGAGTGTCACCTCTAGCCGCCACGGAGACGGATTGAGAAGCTGCTGCCACCTGGTCCTGGTGACAAAACAGTACCTGTCCAGGATGCAGAGAGAGGACTGGCAGGAGGACTGGAGAGTCATTCATAAAGACACATGCCAGCACTCTGTGTGTCAGGTGGAAAACCTGCAACCCAAGTGTCAATTTTAATGCAAAAAAGAAAAACAGGATTTTTATTTTGCTTGTTGATTGTGCAGTTTAGACTTTTTGACAGGGCTTTATAAAGTCAATGACAATCCAAATGTCTTCTCATGTGTCTGCAGTAGAACCCTGCATGTTTTTAAATGAGTGTATTGAGCATACAGATATGTGCACAGGCTGACACATGCATAAACCTCCCAGCAGGCTTTGCATTCAGTCATGATTTTATAAGCCTGTCTACAACAAAAGCAGCATCTGTTCATTGACTGTAAACAATATGTTGTTTTTCCACACACATCTCACTCCCACAGAGTGACCTGTCCCAGGTAACCCGAGAGCAGCTCCACCTGACGAGCTGCTCTTGCGGGAGCAGTGTGTATCTGAGTCCGGGTGCCCTGGGCTTATGGGATGGCGGCGGCAGCAAGGCAGGGCGGGGCGGGGCAGAGTGGGCTGATTCCAGGAACAAAGCAGACAGGATGCTGGTAAGGCCCAGATAGCATCACCAGCAGACCATGAGGGCCAATGGACAGCGGGGCAGAAATGAGACATGTATTAGGTTACTCCATCTGTTAGAGAGCACCTCCTCTCACACACAAACACACACATGCACACAGACGTACACAATGCAATCACACAGTGCACAGCAGTGGCCAGGTGGTGACAGTGTGGGCGA